TGGTTATTTAATTATTGCAGTCAAATAATTATGCCATAATTTATAACTTATATATAAGCAGTTACGTCACCATATCATAATCTGGAATCAACTAGTCTTATTATTTCTTGTCATCAACATTCTTCCGATACTTTTTTTATTTGCATCTAAGTTGGTCATAATGCATAGTTTACATTGCATAACGACTACATTAATATTTTGAAACAAACTTCAGTACAATGTTTCGTTATATAGAGCTTGTTTACAACACTTTTTCCCCGTGCTTGAACTTTCTTTGACCTCGCATTAGACTCCTAGCAGACAGTAACGTTTGCTGTGGGCGTGGTTAAATCTCTTTGATGTATCTTGTTTACTACCGACTTCCAATTAAACATGGTTAGTATGTCTACTAGTATCTTGTCGAAGGTTCTCGATTGTATTAGAAAACTAAGGGCGTTTCTAGACGCGTCGGTAGACCCACATATATAAGGGATTGACAGGCACAGAGGGGGACGGAGATTGATAGATATTTTTAACTTCACGAGACGTGTATCATTCTTTGTGTACTTATATGTGTTTTTTTGCATTGATCATTCATCATTTTTCATTGGCACATTGTACTAACTGTGTTAACTGTGTACCGGTACAAGATCTACCATACTGTAAGTTGATGATTTGTAATGATATTTCTTTTGTTTGTAATTGTATTATCACCAAATTAAATCTTATCAATTGTAATTTGTACTGTTTTGGGTGTCGTAATTTTGTTATTGTATTTATCTATGGTATCGTCCTTTGTTAGCCACTGTTTGAACGAGCCATAACTTAAAACAAGAGATTAATTCCTCACAATAGAAGCCAGTGCGTAAACAGTTTTTCTTAAATGTTTCTTCTGCTTTTTAATGATCGAAACAACAGATGAATTTTTAATTTTCTATTATCCCGAACATAATAGCGCCCTTGACACCAATTACAGGCACTACTCCCACATGAAAAGTTATGACACATTTCTATCGATTAAAACAAATCAATACAGCGTCCATGCTGTAGTAGGATGGCTTTCATCAAGACCCTCAAAACCCTGCACAATAATGCATGACGATGCTATTGACAATGGCCTTACGTTCTTCAGAATAAAGACCAAAAAAAAAAAAAAAGACTTGCGATCTAAGTTTCAAAGAATGATACACTAGGTTCGCCAATTTATCTATACAGGCATCTATCGCAATCTTGTTTCGTTATATTAACTATGCATGCCATGTAGCCATGACTGCAATGTTTATATCTACGCAAGCGCACGAAGGAATTTAAAATACGGCGCTGGAATCACATAGTTTAAAGAGGAATAAAATTACGATACTTGAAAGAAGCATAGCGTATATTACAAAACAGAGGATTGATATAGGCTATAATTATATAAAATTGCGCAACGCATTACTAAGAGAAAAACGTATTTTCCTTTCTTTTTACAGTCGAATCCGATTATATTGCCGGCCTCGGGGTTTGCTAAAAGCGTCCAGATAACCGATGATCGAGATAACAGAAAACCAATATGGCGGCTATATATTAACACGTGCTTTTCGATGTCCTTTACTATTATCTTAGTTTACGCTTGGCCCTACTCTCCTCTCTTTTTCATATTCTCCAACGAACAATACACGCATGCAGAGATTTTTGTGTTTTTTTTCTTCTATAAAGCATCAAATTACTTTTTTCTATAAACTCACAATCTTAACAATTCCAGGAAAGAGAATTTTTATCTTTTTTATAACAATATAACATTACAAAGCTTGAACGTGTAACCTTTCACTCTACAGTTAAAATACCATTTAATACAACTACTCCTAGTGGCCTTTGTATATTAATTAAAGATTAAACTAAAACAATTTTGTTTCTTCTGAAAACACCGTGTTCATATCCGTTGTAACCAGTCATTTTTAGCACGTATCCCAGAGTTTTTCACAAAACAAAACACACATTTATTCAACGCTTCGTCTTTACCTGACTGAACCCTATTGACGCCTCATTACTTAGCAATAACGTGCCCTTGAATTCCTTTTGTTTTCAAAGCCATTGTCCCATTCTCCGTCACCAATAACCGTGTTTACTCGGCCGTGTGTTTGTGGACATTGAGCTTTGATCCGTAACGATAAGCCATACGTATTCTTGTGTTTGGTTCATGCTCAATTTATTTTTAACCTTTATTTTTGTCGGCTCGGTTAAAATAGGTTAGTGCAGCGTTTGAAGTGAGCAAAGTGTGTGTGTGTGTGTTTGTTTGTTTTTTTTAATATAATTTTCAAAATGAGAACTTCATGGATGTCAGGTTAAACTCATTGGAAAAATTAAAATTGAGCAGGCGAAATGACAACACGACTCCAAACACATTGAAGTGGCATGAAAACTGCTTAATGAGACTAATGGCTTACCTTTCAGTTAAAGCAAAACTTCTAAAAAGATAATTAATTCACAAGAACAAAGCCTCCATACTGATTAATTTAAACGATTAATTGAGAACTGTTAAACTATTTTCATATTTAAATTATATTGACAATTTTCTAGCCACAGAAATCTATGAGTTAGCATTACATTGCAGAGTAACTTCAAAGAGCTTTAAATGACTCGATCTATAACGTGAATAGTGAATGTAAAATAGTGAATGATACTTTTTTACAGGGTTTTTTTTGTTACAAATTTCTCATAACATAATTTAAATCTTGTAAAATATAGGTGGAAACATAGGTTATTGTATCGTTGTATCCACAATTTTAGGGGCAATAATCAACTTAACGATGCTGACAAAATGAAGACAATCATAACAGGGGTGAAAGAAGCAAATACTGAGAGAATTAATATGTTTAGTGGACAAGTTGGGCCTTCTACGTTTGTTGTATTGGCTGCCTGAATTGAGTTAAACTGACAAGTTGACAACACATTTTTTGCCTGAATTGAGTTAAACAGACAAGTTAACAACACATTCTCCTCCTTAATTCATTTAAAGAGCCAAGCTAAGTTGACAATAAATTTCCTGAATTGAGTTAGACAGCCAAGTTGACAATAAATTTCCTGAATTGAGTCAAACAGCCAAGTTGACAACAGACTGTCTGTCAATCAAAGCGTGCACCATTCAAACGAACGCATCATCAATAGATTTAAGTGTGGTTCACACAATTAGACAGTGTCATACATCCTTTAAACGACATTATCTGGAGTCCCCCCCCCCCTATACGTGTCAGTAAAATTGTTACAGAAACGTGAATATGTGTTAAAATGGAATAATTTTAAGTTCAAATATTTTTCAGGACTTAATTTTAAAAATACATTTTAAAAAATAGATTTTTTTTTGTGTGTGTCAAAAAACTAATGGTTAGAATGGAATAGCATGATCATGGGACACGTGCTTAAGGGAAATAGAAAGCATGAAAGGGAAGAACAATTTCAATCAATAAAAGGAGTATTTATTTTTAAAAAATCGTTACTTGCTTGACGCATTGGAGGCAGGACGTGTCATAATACTCTACTCGATTCTGAACAAGTCGATCCTTTGATATTTTATAATCAAGGTAGTTTATTTTTTCAAAGCCAAACATTAATAAAAATTTTTAAAATAGTTTCTATATTTAACACACATTTAAATTAAAAGAGAAAATGTAAAAGTTGAAAAAAACTTGACGCTCTACAGATTTGTAGATTCGAAAGACTAAATGCAACCTTAATGACATAATTTTTCCCTCCTTATTTTATACTAGAACCATGAACTTTTATTATCATTTTTTTTTTGGGGGGTGGGGGTTTCATTTAGGCTTTTTTTTCAAAAAACATGCTTATTTGTTGTTTTCTTTTTATAATTTTTTTTCTTTCTTTTTCTTCTTTTAATTGATTATTTAAAAGTTTCAATCGTAATTGTAATACAAAGCCATTCGCTACACATGTGTATTCAAGTTCTAGGTTAAGCAGAATGTCATAACCAAAAGACAACATAAGATGTTTCACGGTCAGTGGACCTTAGCCCTGGAACGTTTTGCTTCATGCATCAATAGATTTAAGTGCGGTTCACACAATTAGACATTGCCTTACCTATTTAAACGATGTAATCTGAAGTCCCCCCCCTCCCCTCTTCCACATGTCAGTAACATTTTTATTGAAATGTTAATTGGTGTTGAGATTGACCCGGCGAATAATTTATGGTTCAAATTTTTCTCAGCACTTAACACAAAATAAAATTATCAAAAAAAAATGAGTTTTGCGGCAAAACTATGATAGTTAGAATGGAATAGCATGATCGTCGGACACGTGCGTTAGGGAAACAGAAAGAAAGAAAGAAAGAAAAAAGAAAGGAATAAAGAAAAAAGCAACAGCAATTAAAAAGAAGCTGTGTATAAAAAATACCCGTCATTTGTTTGATGCATTGTGGGCCGGACGTGCGATAATACTCTTCTTGGTTCTGAACTTTTTGTTCGCGTTACATTTTATAATTAAGGTAATTTGTTTTGTTTCTTAAAGTGCCGTGCATTAATAAAGTAAGAATATGCTCTTTTGCATTTATCGAAAATGTAAACTCAATCGTGAAAATATTGAAGTGAAATAACGTAATGGTGAGCAATAAATTTGTGTAGATTCAAAATCTTAAGAGCTACTTTATGGATATATTTTTTTATTATTTTATACTAGAACATAAAATTATTATTATTTTTATTATTATTATTTAGAATTTACATCAAAAACATTCATTTCTATTTTCTTTTAAACTCTGGTGTTGTTTTTGTTCTTCCAAAAGAGGACACGAGATGTTTCCTTCGCCTCGGACCTTAGCCCTAACGGTTTGCTTCCTGATGCTCGTGTCGGACTGTTTCGCCTTCGTAAGCTCCGCACACTTTAAAGCAGGCGTGCTGTGCGACACGCAGGCCAAGATTGATCTCGGCTGCCTTACAAACGCGAGAAGCCCTGTAAACGCCATAGAGTGCGGCATGCTGTGCGCCGGTGAGGAAAGTTGTGAAGGCGTCTTGGTGGGTCAGGGCAGCGAATGCCTTCTCCTTCAGCACTGCCCCGGTCCCACGTCAACCTGTCTCGAAGTACATAACGGTTTAAACTACTACAAAAGATGGCCGAACCTGGGGGATTGTCTGAACGGTGGCAGCTGGAACGCCGGCAAAGGGACCTGCAGATGCTATAATGGATTCGTAGGGCTCCGTTGTGAACGATACGCCGAGTCGTGCGCAGAGCTGTTTGAGTACGATTACGGCTATCAGTTTAATAGGAAAACGTTTCTCAAGCCTCCTGGATTCACCGCCCCGTTTCAGACCAATTGCGCGATTCTAAAAACCAGCGGGATTCGCACGGACATTTTTCACCAGACGAATGTCAGAGCCATCAACAACACCAGGGCATGGAGCGAGTACGTTGACGGCTACTACGCCGCCGAGGACTGCAGAAATGAAAGCGATTTTTGGTTGGGCCTTGAAAAAATCCACCATTTTAACCAAAGAGGCAACTTGAAGCAGTTGAATATAATGCTAGAATTCAAATCGCCGTATGATTTAGCTCAACTTCAATACGATGACGTTGTTATAGGTGGACCTGAAGCAAACTACTCTCTGAGCTACCAAAAATTTAAACGTATTGACAACTACAGGACATGGGGCTTAACCGATTGCTTCTCTTCGAATACGTCGACGGCGTTTTCAACACCGGATGCAGATCACGACCAGGATGCGTCAACCAACTGCGCGGAAGAAGCAGGGGCGGGTTGGTGGTTCGGGACATGCAACCCTAGCAACGAGTGCAACCCCCTGGGGGAGCCTTACATCACAGGCATGGAGACTGCCACGTCAAGGCACATCCGTTTCAAAGGGGAAGACATTCGGAACTACGCAAAGAATCTCACAGCGATTCGAATGTTTCTGTTTCAACCATTTAAATGATCATTCTAATCTAACTGAGTCTTTTTTTTTTATTTAAAGGATAACAAAAAAAAAAAAAAAAAAA